TAAAATACTAACTTTAGTGTTTATCCATTGCACTTATTATAGTTCTTGAACTTTAAACTTTATATTTTTTGTTTTTGAATAATTAATTTAAGTAGTTTTTCTCATTTCTTAATTTTTAAATGTGCATAACAAGTATCGTTCTCTAATTAATTTCATTTTCACCTCTTAACTTTTAAATGTGCATAATTAGCGTCATTCACTAAACTAATTTTGTCTCTTAATATGAACCTTTTTCATGATTAGTTCAAGAACCAAATTAGTGCAATAATTAAAAAATGTAAAGTCTAAAATTCAGGATTAATATTAACCTTATTATTAATTTTAGGTTGATAAAGAGGGAACAATTTTGAAACCAAATAGAGGCTTAGTTGGTTGGACCGTTGGAGAGAAAATCGGGGTAGGACCAAAGGAGTACAGCGAGGCCATGTGAGGGCTAATCATCGGTTTGGAAGGGGTCAGCCTGGCAACCAACTTCGGCACACACTCCCTTCCAACGGTTATACGTTGTCTCTTTCTTTGGCTTTTGCATTTTCATCAGGGTTTCTCCTGCTCTGTCCCCGTTTGGCCACTTCCCTTCCTACTCTCTCATCGATAAGCTTTTTGCAATATAGTATTATGCTATCAACTTTAATCAGTCTAAAGATCTTTCTGGCAAAAAATATACTGATTAGAAGCAAGTCTTGATCAATGGAGTGAAATGAAAAGCCAATCTCCTTATTACCAACTAAAATCAATCTCCTAGAGATCCAACCGTTAATTAAAACTTGAAGAATCTAAGTTGATCATAAATTTCAATATTAGAATGGCAATAACATGAGGGATTACCTTACATTATAAAACGAAGGATGACTTATTAAATTATATCTAATAATTTAAACTCTACAATTTAATATAATTCACAATATTTGTTTTTTTTTTTTTATAATACTACTAATTATCTATTTTGTATTTCCTTTTATTACATTAGTCAAACCACTTATTTGCATTAGAAATATCATTGTTTTTTGTTAGGACAGTTATTGGTACACATTTCGGTTCAATACATTACATGACACATTTATTAAAAAATTATTATTTTTTGTTTAAAATTAAAAACAGACAAATTTAATGATACAATCATACATACAAGATATAAAAACTGGTTAAATTAATTGTATTTATATTATATTTTTAATCACTAAATCAAAATGTGTCAGAAAATATGTTGAACTGGAAGGTGTACCAATTATTTTCTTTATTGCTATCAATATTTTTTAAAATTTTTATTTACTATCAATACATTTTTATAATTTGAAACTCATCAAAAACTCTAAATTACTAACTAAATCATGGTAAATAAGGTGTAAATAAAGGATTTATTCATTAACTTTTAAATTTTTTTATGAGTTTTAAATTTTTAAAAAGAATTAATCAAAATAAAAAATTTAAATAATATTAATCATAGAAATAATAATATCCAACTTCCAATTATGATATAGGGTACACTCACAGTTGTGATGATGTTGGTTGAATGCACTTTAATCATAGACATCATCATAATTCAATTCCTTATGATGTTATCTCCTTTCTTTTAATTTCTTAATGTTAAAAAATTTGGGGATATAGGAATATGGCCTATTACATTTGTCATTATCCCTCAACACACGCCTTTCTTACATTCTCTACCAGACAGCAACAATTCACATTTCGGTGCACCTCATCAACATTCAGAATTGATGCTCCCCACCCCACCCCACCCTACCCTTCCCTTATCAACTTATATTGTTGTATTCATGACTGAAATGGCTTGTCAAATAGTGCAAAATTCTCAAACAGCTTTGTAAGGTTGGACGCCGGAATTCCTCCGCTGCTTGGTTTAGAGAAATTATAAAATAATAATTGATGGGTTCATGATAATCGTGGTATGTGGGGGCCTCCATCACGTGGTTCCACCTGGAAAATGAGCTTCACAGGGTGATGCGGTGGCAGTGACACATTCCACAAGATTTCCAGCCCCATTCTTATCTGGTATCTATGTGCAGTGCTAGCGCACTGGCCTCCTGCACAGTCCCCTCCTACGACACCTCCTTTTTTTTATTAGCCTACCTCCAAATTCTGATTTTTTTTTTTTAAGAGTTGTTTTAACTTATATTTTATAGGGCATAAATTAAAATTTTGTTTTAATATTAATTGTTATTAAAAAATAAAATTTAATAGTTATTTATTTAAAATGGTTATTTTAATTTAATGATATTGGATCTTATGTTAAAACTGTTTATTTTTTATGGGTTACATGTTTGAACTATATGAAATTTTTTTTTATCTTTTAATTAACTTGTAAATAATTGTAATTTGTTTAAAAAATATATATTTATTTAATTAAAATAATACATATAATATTAATG